ACTAGTAGCCCGGGACGCCCCCTAGTGGGCGTTATTTACAAATTTCCATGAGGCACGGTTCCTTTGACTTTTTTGTTCCTATCAATATGCTGTACAGTTCCGTTAAAGTCCCAATGGTAAGATTTACTCTCCGAATGAAGAGGTGGCGAACCCCCAAACCGTACACCCCTGTATTAACAATAAAGTCAAAGGAGCCATACCCCTACTCGCGACCCTTCGAGAGATATAAGCCCCTGAAATAATAAATTCCTATTACAAATATACTGAATTATTTATATTGTTATATTGACCAAATAATAATTTATTGGCAAAATGAATAATAAAAATTTATATCGTTAATTTAAATAAGAATTAAAATTGTTAATTTGAATGTTTGAAATATGATACACGATAGGGGCGCCTCTAGTGTCTGTTTTCAAACGGTTACGGGACAGACGGACAGTTGAATGGGTTATATATATAAATATGTATATATATATATATATACAGTAAAATCTGAAATGCGGTAACTTAGAAATTACTGGTAAGTCCAGACATTTATCAATATTGGGTGGTATAAAAGTCCAAAATCCCTGATAAAATGCCCATATTTCAGACTTTTACCAAGAGATACTGGTAAATATAAGTTCTATCAATAAAAAATGGATTCATAAACATTATATTAATATTTCTGTTTTGTAATCTACTTAAAAATATACATTAAGAATTAAATATACATTAAGAAAATTAAAGTATTATTGTAATGATTTTTATAATAAATTTGGTGATAAATTTGGTGTAAATGAATAAATTGTCTATTATATGAATTTTGTTTTTGCATGTGTGTGTGTTTGTGTAAGTCTAGTTTTTAATGCAGCAGAATGAATGATGTAATATGTAGTAGATTTTATTTACTTTAAAAAACATGGCCAGTAAAATATCTGTTTGCTATAGTCATTTGAAGAGGTATGATGTTCTCAACATCAGAGTGAAGAGAAACTAATAGCACCAGTCTACTGGAAAAGAAATTCCTTACTATGTTGTTTTGATGAACTGTTTAACATGATATATAAAGCTCACACTGCTATTGGTCATGGTGGAAGAACTTGGATGGCTATGAAACTGAATTGATAAAACCCATCCTACACAACAGAATTAATTCACAATTCCAAATTGTGTTAATTGATATGCAGTCCAATGTGTCAAAGTTCATATTGTTATGCCAGAATCATTTGACAAAATTTGCTATTCTTTGAACATTAAAATTGAAAAGGGCTGAGGACGCCTCATCTTTTGAATATTTTCACAACTTTCGGCTCACCTAATATTCTTCATTCTGATAATGGTAGAGAGTTTCATAACCAAGTTATCCAATGTTTATGTAGTGCGTGGACTGATATAAAGATAGTTTGTAGAAAAACAAGGAACATCAGTCTCAGGGATCATTCAAATGTTCAAACAGGATATATGATTTAGTAAACAATGAAGACACTGTAGATTATGAAAAAAATGTTAAATGTTAGAAATGGATGAATGTAACTAGAAAGGACAGTACAATTGGAGCAGAGAACAAAACTGCAGGAGATCAGCAAGAAAATACAGTTGGAGCTGACAGCTAAGCAGCAGGGGTATAGCATGACTTTAGTTGAAATTGAGACAGCAAGAGCCACTATTATCTGTGACTTAAAAGTGATGCTGTTTTGAAAGACTGCCAAAGAAGGCCTTGAAAAGCAAGCAAAGAAAATGAAAACAGCTTTTTGTAACAAAATTCCTGACATCAGTTGGACAGAATGTAAGACAAAGTATTGCATGCATACCAAGCAAAGATTGGTGCAAAATCAGTAATAGCTGTGGTCATAAATATAATATTTGAGGATGATGAATTTTATCAACTTGGTACTAAGGTTGGAAAATTGAAGTTGTTATACACTAGGAAGCAATTTACGTTGTGCAAAAAAAATCTGTATCAGCATCAAAGAAGCATGAAAGAAGTTAGTGTACAGGAAGAGATTAGCAGTTTTGTTGTTGGCCAAAGGTTCAAAAAATGCAACTGTTTAAAAGTGTTCAACAAAAACATGTTTGTGCAAATCATCATTTTTCTTGTGCAATTTAAAATGTCCTAATATCAACCTTATTGCAATCAGTAAATTTTCTTTATCATCAGATGAATTATTCATATAAATTTGTTCAAAACTAAACAAAAAAATTTTTTTATTTTACTACAATGTAATGTTTGTCAAGCCATAGCTATAGCAAGGACTTTACACATAGGAGTATTTGTTCATCAGTAGTCACTAAATTTGTTAACCCAGAGGCTAAAAATGTTATAAAAATTAAATATATTGTAATAAACAAACAAAATTTTTTTTTCTTAGTATGGTATTTATGTTAATCAACATTATATTCTAATCATGGTGTTTAAAAAAAATTTAAGACATTACAGGATACATGATATAATAAAGTATCAATTTATATCATTATTAAAAATTACCTGAACTGATCAGTTACCACCATACATTTACCACTACCTCTTGGTAAAAGCCTGAAATGTGGGCATTTTATCAGGGATTTCAGATTTTTACCACTCAATATCAGTAAATATTTGGACTTACTGGTAATTTCTAAGAGTTATTGGACTTTGGACTTTTACAGTAATATATGAAGCTCTTGGGGATGTATAGTGCTAACCTTCAGAATCATGTTTCTGTGGTAATTGAATTTGAATATTTGAAAAAATCCCAAAATAATGAGATAACATTTATATCTACAAGCAATGTTCAGAGAGCAAAAATATTAACACACAACTATTCATATGATTTTAGGACTTTTTCGAACATTCAAACTCTGTTACCTCAGAGACATGATTCTGAGGGTTAGCACTATCTGTCCTTGAGGGCTTAATTAATATATATGCATACACTATATTATTGAGAGATAATCTATTACAGAATATTTTTAGGACCAAAAATTCTACCGAACATACACAGTATTTTTTTGAAAATTGTTTCACACTAGCACACAAAATAAATCAATTTGCAAACAAATTAATAATTATTACTATATAGTTTGAAAAATTCAAATTAAATCATATAAATAATTAAATAGGCTTACTGTATAATTTGTTGTGTATCACTAAACTGATAAATTAGTGTAAAAATTTTTAAACTAAAAGAATGCTTTAATTTAAGCACTTGTTGTCATCATAGAATATAGTATATGCAATTGTAAACTTGATGTAATATGTTTGTTAATAGAAATAAAATGAAGTTGTCCAGGCAAATTGTTAATGGACAAATTAGACATTGTAGGAAATGACCTAAATATAAAATTTAGCAGCTATTTTTACCTTGGGATGATAGTTAATGAAACTTTTGATATCCAAAAATGCAAAATTAATTTATTACAATAACAGTCATGCAATTTTTTTCAGAAAAATTATTTGAGATGCACGAAAGTTTTGCAAAATGATAAACTTTTTGACTAACTTTTTCATTACATTATTTATTCTTTTGAAAATGCAACCATATTTTTATGACAAATTTTTCCAATTAATGTCTTTATGCTACAGACTTAGTCAAGACACTATTCCACTTTATTTTAACATTTTTGTGACTATTGCTGTAATTTAATTTTCTAGCACAAATTTCCTCAGGACTGCTTTAATTTCCCTGAACATCATTCATTTAATTGGACATATTCTGATCTCTGATCTATTGCATGGAACAATTGGCTTGACTTAAATTTTTTTTCTTGTAATAATTTTTTATAAAAATTATTAATTATTGAAAATTATTAATAAAATAATTGCTTGTAAAAATTCATATAATTATTCATTAGTAATATTTTAATAATAAATGAATATTTAATGAATAATTAAATATGAAAAAAATCATTTATATATACATTTTTATTTTTATTAGGCTGTAGCTGATGTCATAAGAACATGCTTGGGTCCAAGAGCCATGCTAAAGGTAATTATATATATAATGTGATCTATAAAAGAAACATTGAGTCTGAAAAACCAATTTTTATATTTTGAGTGTATGTTATTCTATCGATTAAGAGGAGCATCTAAAAAAATTATAAATTTACTCTGTTTGTCAAATGTTCAAGATGTTTCCAAATGTTTCTAGGAACATCTGGCATTGAACATCTGAAAGTTAAAAATCAACATTTTTACTTTGATTGTTTTTTTTGCTATACAGACAAATTACTGTTCTGAGTTAAAGTATCTTTTCATATGTTTTATTATATATAAAATGTTCTAAGTTTTAAAATTTGATATTCAGAATAATTTAATTAATGCTATTTGGCATATCAGGTACATTTCATTGTTTTTCAGTGTCAAAATAATTTTCAATTTATTGATAGCATCCTTAGAAATTATATATTAATCTTAATGACTGAATAGCTGTTTTATTTATTTATATACCAGTATATATAATAATAATAAACTTTAGAATACAATATAATAAAATAATAATGTTTGCAGATGTTGATGGATCCAATGGGTGGAATTGTGATGACAAATGATGGCAATGCAATTCTTCGAGAAGTAAGCATTTCTAATTTATTATTATTTATTCTTTCCAGTCAATAAGTTCAAAGATAGTGAAAAAAGTTTTAAACTATTGTTCTTTATTCTATTTGTTTTTAGTTTAATTTATTAATAATTTTTCAAGTATTTATCTTGAATTTAGTTTTTTTATTTTAAAATATACTTTCACATTAAAAACTTTAAGAATTCTTTTAATACTACTTCAACTACCGTATGACATCAGGCTATATATTGGCAATAATAATAATAATAAATTATCAAGATTGGACCAGAGGTCCAGGTAGCATAATTGGCAATGCATCTGCACAGCAAATGGGAGTTGTGGGTTCAAGTCCTGCTCTGGACAGATTGTTTTCTTCCAGTTTAATCTAAAATTGTTTAATTAAATTATAATTATTACATTTAATGAGATAGCACCTAATTCTTCCCTCTAGGGTCAAATTTATTAGTAATTTATAATTATTATTGCCAATAGCCTGATGTTATATGGCAGTTGAAGTAGTAGTATTGTAATGTATCAGGTTTCATAGATGTTTATATTTATATGTATTCTTTTTTATTTTGGCTCTATCAATTACTGCATATTTTTAGCAGTTTAATGTAATATTTTTAGTTTGATTTATTTATATGTTATATTTAGTAACAGATTCAAGAAGTAGGAAATAAATGTTTAGATAATTTATTTGAAGAGTTATTTCATATTTTTGGTATCCTTATAAAACAAGCTCTTTCAGAATAAGATAGACACAAGCTTCACTTGATTAACATGACATCATGGCAATCAAAATGCATTTCAATTAACATATTGTGTAAAATGTTAATCTCATTTTTCATAATGTGATATTAAGAGTTCCTGGCATATACTGTGAAATGCTAGAGTTAAATAATAGTTTAATATTACAGAAAAAAATGTATAAAATGGAACAGGTAATATAAAATATTAGATAATATGTTGGATATTTTAAGTCAAGTAATAGTTAATGTTGAAACTAGAGATAAAAATGAATAGTATAATTTTGAACAGGATGAAATGCATCTTATTCACATTTATTGTACTCCTAAACTTTAAATTCAAGTGTATGGTAGTATTGTTAATAGATATTAATGAATTAAAACTGCATTGTGTAAGGTTTTAATTAAAAAATTTCAATATTTTAGGGAACAGTACAAACCTGTAGCTAAGGGTAGACAAGATGCAACTATTTCGCTAATGAAATGCAAATAGTTGTATAACATTAAAGTTAAGTGAGAAAAACCAGTCCTAATTAAAGAATGTATAAAAGGGTTTATTGTAAAATTGTTAGAACAAATATGCATTTATGGGTTATTGAAATACTTAAAAATTATAAACACAAATAGTGCTAGGGAACTAAATACAGGGTTCCTATGCACCTGGAAAGTTGAGGATTTTCATTAATGTTTAGGAAAAGTCAGGGAATTTCCCTCCTGGCTGCTTTGTTGATTTTTTTTGTTGTTGTTCATGATAAGTTAGAAAAAGTGTAACCATCTACAGGCAGCAAGAAGTAATGTAGTACAATGCAACTTATGAAAAGGCATGCAGAATATTTTCAGAACCCACAGTTTCTCCAAAAATTATTACACACAAAATAAAACCATAATTTATGAACCAATTAATAATTATTATTACAGTAGTACCTCGGGATACAAAATTAATCTGTTCCTAAACTGAGATCATATCATGAAAATGTTGTAAGGCGAATCATTTTTCCCCATATGATTACATATAAAAGCAAATAATCCATTCCAACATAAAAAACACTCAAATTAAAGCTTAGTAGTACATTGAAATAAAATAACTTTAGTAGGGAAAACACTGAAAAATGTGTTTTGTAGTTGTAAATGTATAAATAACCATAGAATAATAATTGATTAAAAAAAATTAGTTTTATTTGCACTTTACCTTTGAGGATAGATGACGGTGGAGGTGTAAACTGGTGGCGGAGGAGAGGGAGAAGGGAAATGATACTAAAACTTAACTTACATAACATAATGCAACAATAACTTAACACTAATTTTTTATCTTTTCTGTTTCATATATTTTTTAAAATTTTTTATTTGCTGCTTTTTGCTTTCTTTCCTTCACTTCCACCAGCACTTTCACTGGATAGAGGTCGTTTGGTAAAATACTGATCCAAAGAGGTTTGGCTTTGCCTACTTTTTAAAATGTTACTAAAATGACTTAGGCAAATGTCATTAAACTGAGCAGCAGTACGGCCATTTGCAGTACAGTGTGAACATTTTCAGGATGTTTCTTTTCAATAAAATCAGTCATTTTCTGATAATACCTCAAGATTTCCTTTATTGAGCGAGATCCTTCCACGATGAAGCAAACACACAGACTGAGACTGATAAACAGAAGGAGCACGTGATCGTGGCAATGGCACTGCAAACTAATGTAACGTCATATGGTGAGTTTTTGTTCGTACCGTGGAGCAAAAGTATGTTCAAATTTCATGTCGTATTCTGAAAATTTCATATGCTGGAGCGTTCGTATCCTGAGGTACTACTGTACATAGTTTGGAAAATTCAAATTAAATCATATAAATAAGTAGGTCTACCATACAATTTACCTTGCAATGTTAAACTGATAAGTTAACAAAAATATTTAAGACTAGCTTACCCGTCGCGCATTGCTGCGATCTCAGAAGAAACGAAATTCAAGCAAACTCGTTATGATAAAATTAAATTTACATTTTATCATTTTTATTGAAACTTATTATTATTATTATTATTCNTGAGTTTTTATTGTATTTATACAATCATGCTGTTTGAAAACGAATAACTTCATGGTTTTCATTATTAAACTGTTAAACTTAAATTAAAAATAACATTATTAAACTTAACAATGTTGTTTTGAAGATTGTCATTAGTCTCAAACCTCTACCCTCCTAGCTATGTTTCCAGTTCAGGAAAGAGGTGGAAGTCTTTACACATTAAAAAGTTTCAAGTTGGGTAGAAGTCTGAAAAGTGGAAGTCTTCACCACCTTTAACCTGTCCTACATTGTTCCCGAAAATATTTGTGTTGACCTCATTGACCTGTGTGGGCGGTCCCAAATATTTTTAATAGTGTTTACATCGGAATGTTGTTTTTGATACTAGATGTCGCTATGCGTCACAATTTTTATATTAAAAAGAACTTTTAAAATATAATTTTTTTGTTTCTATATTATTCAATATATTTATTTTGTTTGTGCACCATAAAAAAATAATTTTTAACGATACAGTAAACACGATTATTATTTTAAAAAAAAGTTTTTAGACTTAACATCGACAAAAATTCAACATGGCGTCACAGGCAACAAAAATTTCAACATCGAATAGATTAAACAACCAGCATATAGCCTGATTTAGCACCAAGATACTTTCATCTCTTTCCTGAACAGAAAAAGTGGCTAGGGGGGCAGAGGTTCGAGACTAATGACAATTTTCAAAACAACATTAGGGCCCATCTCGAGTTATTGGCAGCAACATTCTATGACAAGGGGATGGAAAAGTTCATCCACAGATATGATAAATGCCTCAATCTTCACAGTGATATGTCAAAAAGTAACCATGTTTGTATCTAACTTTTGGTAATAAATTAATTTTGTTATTTACACTTGTCTTTGTTTTATGGACCATTGGAGCTTGGAAAAAAACAGCCTACATAAGTTTGTTGGAATTTTTGTGGTTTTTAAGGTAAATCATTTCTACAATTAAATTCTTATTCACTTACTATTATTTCCTCCAAATAAAACAAGCTTCAGTTATTTAAGAAGTTTAGTATTAACTTGTCATATTGTTAGATATTAATAAATTTGATAATTTAAAAAGTTTTAATGTAAACATTTTAAAATTTAGATAACAGTACAACATCCAGCTGCTAAATCTATGATTGAAATTAGTCGAACTCAAGATGAAGAAGTTGGAGATGGAACTACATCTGTTATTATTTTGGGTAAATTTTTAAATATTTTAAAATAAAATTGAATTCAGTACAAATTAAATTATTTTAACTAAAGTTAATAGGAAAAATTACATACATTTACAATTTAAATAATTTCATTAAAACATTATAATTTTTTGAAATTACTTGAAATTTTAAAATAACAGATGTTGGGTTTGGCATGGTAATGAATACTGTGCTTTCTTATGTGCTTAGCCCCATCAATGCCTTAATGGATAAAACACTGGTAGTTTTTGCAGGTTTACATCTCACCAGCGGGCTTGCTACATAAAGTTTTTCAAATTTTCTTCACAAATTTAACACCTGAATATCAGTTTCCTGTAGAAAGTCTTCCTATGAGGCATCGCTTCTTGCAAGGTTTTCAAATGTTGCATTGCCTTCTCCCATAAATCTATTTATTCTGAGATACTTAACTGCTTTCTTTATTTGACATCATGGAAAGCATCATCTGAAAACTCTGCACAATATATAGTGCTGAATAGTAGAAATGTCCAGGTGGTTGAGATAATTTGGATAGCAGATTTTTCAACAATGTCTGGTCTACAGATCCCTGTGGTTCTAGGCCAGTGTTTCCCAACATGGGGCCCATGCCTCACGGGGGCGATTTGAAAATGGACTTGTCCAGAGTTTAAGTTAATTAACCGTATAGCCGCTGTATATGTTAGGGGGCATAAGAATTTTAGAAAGGCTTAGGTGGGGCATAGCACAAAAAAGGTTGGGAAACACTGGTCTAGGTAAATATATTGACAGCAAACTATGCAAATTAGATAAATGGCATATTAAAATTTATTAATACTTTCTAATCTAATTTTTTTTCCATGCTGTGCTTCTGTGTGCTGAGTTTTTATTGTATTTATACAATCATGCTGTTTGAAAACGAATAACTTCATGGTTTTCATTATTAAACTGTTAAACTTAAATTAAAAATAACATTATTAAACTTAACAATGTTGTTTTGAAGATTGTCATTAGTCTCAAACCTCTACCCTCCTAGCCATGTTTCCAGTTCAGGAAAGAGGTGGAAGTCTTTACACATTAAAAAGTTTCAAGTTGGGTAGAAGTCTGAAAAGTGGAAGTCTTCACCACCTTTAACCTGTCCTACATTGTTCCCGAAAATATTTGTGTTGACCTCATTGACCTGTGTGGGCGGTCCCAAATATTTTTAATAGTGTTTACATCGGAATGTTGTTTTTGATACTAGATGTCGCTATGCGTCACAATTTTTATATTAAAAAGAACTTTTAAAATATAATTTTTTTGTTTCTATATTATTCAATATATTTATTTTGTTTGTGCACCATAAAAAAATAATTTTTAACGATACAGTAAACACGATTATTATTTTAAAAAAAAGTTTTTAGACTTAACATCGACAAAAATTCAACATGGCGTCACAGGCAACAAAAATTTCAACATCGAATAGATTAAACAACCAGCATATAGCCTGATTTAGCACCAAGATACTTTCATCTCTTTCCTGAACAGAAAAAGTGGCTAGGGGGGCAGAGGTTCGAGACTAANTTACAGACTAAAACAGAAAACTCTGATAAAATAAACTCTATTTTTTGATGTTAACAAAAATTTAGTAACTTCAAAAAAGAGTTACCTAAAGGTTTGGGAGTACTAACATAGGGATTGTTGCAAGGTCCATTATAGGCAATACATAGTGCATCCAAATGTAAGGCAATTTCTGGTAATAACCAGAAACACAGACACAAGCAGTATTTTGTACGAAACAGGTATAAGCGTAAAACAGGTGGCCAGTCTAGCTAATTGTGTTGTTTGACTGCCATGTAATATATCCTTTTGATTTTTCATAATTTTAGTTTTCTTGATATGGCCTGTGTATAACAAATGCAGAGTTGGAAGTGTTATCCTTAAGTAGAATCATATAAACTCTAGATCTTTGTAGAAATATAAGGGATTTCTATTGTTTCACAATATTCTATGATAATGAAGATGTAATTTAACAGATATACTCAAATTTACTGAATAAATATGTAAAATCTAGGAAAAGATGACTCAAGTAAGGGATGGGCAGCAAACCAACTGTTTTCTATAATTTTTAAAGTGGCGATAAGGTTCAACATTCATAGGACTTTATAGTTGAAATGTTTAAACTAGCACTAAAGTAATCAGTGTCTAGATTGCTGAATTAATACATTGTAGCTTAGTCCTTACAAGAGGGGTAGAGATGGGCTTTATGAATTAATGCAGAAATGGCTGCATTTTTGTAGGCTGGGGGCTAGAGGGAGCCTTTCTTAGTCATTGCCAAGCAAAATATACATGATGATGATGATGCATATATAAAAATACACTATTGTTATCGATGTAAATGAACAATGATTAACATATTTAACAGCAAAATGAAATGTTTTGGCAGATGATTTCTCAAATAGATACTGTGTTCTGTAGTCTGCATAACATGTAAAGTATAAAACATCTATACAGTAGAGCATCGATTATCCGACCCCCAATTAACCGTCACATCGGTTAACCGACCGTTCTAATCGGCAAATTTCAAATGTCCACTAGTGATGTGGTGCTACAATATTTGGCTTGGATACTTTAATATTATTTTTGTTAAATTTTTGCGTGTTTTAGCTGGCAACAAGCTCGACCATTGAAGAAAGGCTGGTATTTAGGCTAAGCGAGACTTAATTTTCTAATTATGAGTAGTTGTTTGTTTTGTGAGCAATAATTTAAAAATAATTTTTAACGATACAATAGTGACGATTATTATTTTTTAAAAAATTGATGAAAGTTCAACGCGAAGTAGGTTAATAGCGATATACTATTTACATGGGATATACTATACTAATAATGTATTTTTTTCATTATTTTCGGTTATCCGATTTTTTCAGTTATCCGACCAACCTGAGTTCCCAATTGAGTCGGATAATCGATGCTCTACTGTATTTTCAATTTTTAAATTTATATTGTTTTACTGCAGCAATTCTTAACCTCTTGTTTTACACTAGAAAGATGATGAGAGATACAGTTTGTTTGGAAAGTTTAACAATTAGTTTATTTTTATCATCATGCAAAGAATATTTTTTAATAAATTTGCATGGTATTTTGCATTGTACAAAATGCAAAATATTCTACATGTACATGACTTAAATGATATTTTTGGAAAAATTTTATAATGAATGTCTGACTGGTGTAAAAATGTTTTCATTTTTAAACAGTTTTAATATTTCCAAATATTAAAAGTTTAATTTAATTAATAACACAAATTACATATTATATTAATATAAATAAAAGTTTAAAAATTTTTCTATGAAAAATAAAGATGATGAAACAAAATTATTTAAAATATTTTTAATATCAACATTATACTAATGTTATAGATAATTATACATTTCTTGAAAACTATCATATTGTGCTATTTGAAAAATTAATTATTTTTAGTGAACTTCATGTAAATTGATTTTATGTCAAGTTATAAAAGTATTGTTTAGAAATCAAATTTTAAAATTATACATATACAATTCAATAAATTTTATTTCATTTGAAAGTAGTATAATTCTGATGATAATATAAATAGGAAAATTGTATAAATACAAAATATGATCTGATTAAAAATTAATATATTAATGGTTCATGCATTAATTATAATTTTTTACAGTATTCCAGTTGATATGAATAATGAAAAACAAATGATTGATATAGTTAAAAGTTGCATTGGAACTAAATTCATTGGAAAGTGGTAAGTGATTTTCTTTTTTTTATTATTATTATCTTTTTATCACAGCTATTAAAATCATCATCTATATATATAAAAATGAATGTGTGTGTGTGTGTGTCTGTCCTTCATGCATTACCACACCGTTTATCCGATTGCCGTGAAACTTTGGGAAGTTGTTTAATATACTCCGGCGAAGGTTTGTGGCATAGTACGATTGCCATAAAACTTCGGGAAGTTTTTTAATACACTCCCGCGAAGGTTTTTGGCATAGTACATTTATCCTACGATAGATGGCGCGCGTTTACACGAGCATTCGAGCACGGTGTGTCCGATTGATTTCAAATTGTGAAGACCATTTCCCCCTTCAAAAAATATTTCTATATATGCATTTGTGAACTGTTATTTACGATATTCATAATAATTTTTGTTTAATCACTTTATTTCAACTTTTTTTTGCTAATTATGTATTCGCTCGAGCTTCGTTAAAACCTTAACTGTACCCCGAACAACAACCGAAGTTGTAGGAAGAAATTCGCGTATTTTACCGATCTAGGTATCCCCCCTTTTCCAAATTTTAATATCGACTCAAAATAATTTAAAAAGACAAATTACAATAAAACGGTTTATTATCCAACTATCAGAAATTTCACAACATGCCAAGGAAGAGAGGAAGGAGCAATTAAATAATTAAAATTATAAAGGATTTAAAAATATATATAAAAATGGGGAATATCGCACTTCTGACAATCGCAGCGAGTGTGTGGGCTAAATTTGGAGAATCCGTGCTTCTCGCATGGACAACTGTATGTGGCCGGCTCACGCGTCGAAAAGCCTTCCGATTTATTCGTGTACGCACCAGACGGAAAAACAAAAAATATCGTGTATCCACAAACACTCCAATAAATAAATAGAATTGAAACGACACTTTGAAATGTTTTCCCGATGAAAATTAATAATAATAATAAGTTTCAATAAAAATAATAAAATGTAAATTGAATTTTATCATAACGAGTTTGATTGAATTTCCTTTCTTCTGAGATCGCAGCAATGCGCGACGGGTAAGCTAGTTATTTATATAATTTGAATAATCACAATTTATCTCTGATGTTTTAAATACTATAAGTGTTTAAAGTTGTTGATTTTCAGGATATTATTTATTCTATAATAAAAAAGAAAAGTTTCTTTTTTATGTGTGAATTAATATCAATTTTTAAAAACAAGAAAAATATAAGAATAGCAAAATAAGTTTGAATTAGAGTGTATTAAGTAAGATATTTTCTTTTATGGGAAGTTATTTTTTTTATTATATGTCGCAGGGATATGATAAAAGTGAGGATTTGATCAAATCCCTAAGGGAGATGATCAATCTACTGAAGATGTTAAAGTAAAGGTTTGATATTGAAATTTCCCTAATTAAGTGAAGTGATTTGATCAAAACTCTAGAGACCCTCTAGTTAGTTGCATAATTTATTTAGAAATATAGCCATTTTCTAGCCCGATAGCATTCAGCTTTGGTTGGTTTCTAAATTAAAAGTCATTATGTGTGTGATCAAAAGTCGTTACGATGTTTTGATTGTGTACATAACTTTTAATTCTGATTTAAATTATATTTATTTCATTTATGTTAGAATATTGTGTTCTATATTTTAAATTTTGTTCATCTGAAGATGAAGAATATAACTGCGTTCCAAAGCATTAGCAAAAATAAAAAACTGTTAATGCCACACTTAGTGTTGTTTTTACTTTCCTTTATGCAATGTATGGTGTGAGGTTTCAAGCTGTATTGTGTTAAAAAGTATTTTTTGTACTTCATGTGTTACCAATAGTAAAATTCAAGGTTGGCATTGCCAGAGTCAAATGAATTTTACCAACTGTCTCTGTCCTAAAACATAATAATCCACAAAACTGCTGGTACCTTTGAAGAGAATGGATAATTGCTGCTGTTGCCTCTGTTCTTGACATGGTATTTCTAGTTCAGACTTTTGTCTTCTCATCACCATACCTCTTATCATGTATCATTCTTTTCGTAGGTTGTATCATATACCCTATATCTTTTGGCCAAGAAATTGAAATTAAGACTAACTTTAGTATTAAGGACATGCTTCAGGCTGCACTTGTTGTCATCTAATTACACCTTTGATCAATTTGAACCTGGCTTTCTACTACTAAAAAAACCCTTTTCTAGACTATCCAGGATCTTGTAAATAATCCAACTCTGCTTGAAACCTGTCACAAAATGTATAGCAATGTCTGGTATTTTTGTCATGTCTGGATGAACTTTGCAAAAAATGCCTGCACAGTTTTATGAAAAACATGGACTAAAGTTTGTTCATACTTTTTAAATGTTTAAATTACAGTCGAGTCTGCATAAGTCCTCATAGGTATAACTAGACACCATTGGTTAAGTAGTCAGTTTTCTGTGGTCCAGGCATTACATAGGCATTAATGTTAAAAAACTGTGGTTTACTCAACATTATTTAACTCATCACCACTGGATAAATCGACATACTTTTTTTGTCCCATGCTCGTTTAGATGTCTGATAAGTCGACTCCCCTCCCGAAAAAAATGAGTTTACACCACGCAGCTTAATGTCACAGCAGAATCTGATTTTGCATTTTCTCACCTTTCATTCATGCATTATTTGCAGCAAGTGTTTCACATTAATGTTAGAAATGAGTATTTGAAACCTGAAGGAAAAATATGAACTTATATCTGAATTTGAATGTAATAAAACTTTGCAAGCTGAATTTGCAAAACAAGAAAATCTTCCAAGAACAACACTGGTGGGAATTCTGAAGAAAAAAGATGAAATTAAGAAACTTTTTGTTGGGTCTTTGTCTTGGCTGTCTCAAAAGTGCCAGAGAAAGTTGCCGTACAAAGATGCTGAAGATGCTCTGGTACAATGTACCAAAGCATCTTTGATGAACGAAATGATACCAGAGCATCTTCCTGTTTTATTGAAACAAAAAAGTGGTGGAAATTGCTGAAATATTTGGAGTGAAACCAACTTTAATGCCAGTGATGGATGGTCAGAAAGATACATTGCATGTACTGTATAAAACACTATTGTATTTTCATATTTGTAGTTTTTTTTTTTTAACTTTGTTTTAGTCGTCATATTGGATAACTCGACACATTTCCACTTCCCCTTGAGATGTTGACTTATGTGGACTCAACTGTATATATATTTTCAGATTAATAAACACACAAAATTATTAAAATAATAAAAATATTAGTTTGTTAACTGAACTAGTATTGCATTACTAGTTTTTTAGTGTTATTAGTTTAATAATGTAATAATTTACAAGAAAAGTAAAGGAAAAAAAATACATTTCAGAGAAATTATTTATTACTAATTATACTTAAGCAGTTAAAAATATAGGGTGGCCCAAAAGTCAGTTGACCATATATAGCTTCCCATTCGCAAATAACAATTTAATATGCAACTATAAGTAAAATGGATTTAATATAATGTTTTCTATAGTCTTTTTTATATTGAATAATTATATTATTTTATTTGAATAATATATAATTTCTAAAATATTAATATAAATTTTATTTAAAACTCCTGGGCTCTTCNTATTTCATAATAATAACATAGAGGAAATTAGTTCTATTTTTTTTATAATTGACTGTATTGGTGATCAAATAAAAAGCACGTTTAAAAAATTAAATTGTCATAATTTTTATCTTATTCAATTTTTATTCAAAATTTTTTGTTATAGTTTTGAAAGTGGCTGTTTCTTTAATAAACTTAAAATTTAAGTTGTTTTGAAGAATATATTACACTATGATAAAGAAAAATATGAAAATAAAAGTAAAAACAAATGAAGGAAAGTATGTATTTAGTGTTGAATTCATTGATTTCAAAACAACTTTCCTTTTTCAAGAAGTATATTATTTAAATGGTAATGAACATTATACAATCTAATGATTTGTAAAAAGAAAAATTCTCATAGAAATACAAGTTAAAAAGTATAAAGTATTAGTACTAAAAAATAAAAATTCTATAAACTAATTCTAAAAATAAACTTTTAATCTTTGAATGAAGAATATTATCTCTCACAAAAGCCAATAATAATCATCTAATTAAACAAGAAATCACTTTTTTCATATTTTGTTTCATTATTTGAAGTTTGATTTGAATTTATTTTTTAATTCATCACTTATAATAATAATTAGCTAAGTTAGGAATGTAAACTATATTTTGGTGATATTTTGTAACATAATTGTTGATAACTTTTTATTTTTCCAACTTTAAGATTGTTAGATGTTACAGTTCTAATGTTGTTCCTTAGAAAATGAAAAATGATTTAATAGTTACCATAAAAGTAATTCTCTGTGTTGTATGCAAAACTTATTCAGAATTTAGTTATCAAAATTTTATAGCATTGTGATTAGTATCAATGTTTGTTTATGGACAAATGTATGCTACAAAATAGTTATAAATTGCTTTTTTAAGAGGTTGAATTAATTTTTAAAATCTCGCATAGTAAAATGTGTTAATCAGAATTTCTGAATTAGAGCTTTAAAGAAATTCAATTAAAAACACTATATAACATTCACAACTTAGGATTTTTCTGAAGTATTATAGATAAACAAATTTTTTATTTAAAATATATATTTTTTTCTAATTAGGGGAGAAATGGCTTGTAAAATAGCTTTAGATGCTGTGAAAACTGTTCATATAGATGAAAATGGAAGAAAAGAAATTGATATTAAAAGATATGCAAAAGTTGAAAAGGTAATTTTTAAAATTTTATTTACATATTTTGGAATTGATAACTTTTAATTAAACCAGCTAGATCCACAAGATTCTTCTACAATTTTAATATTTTTTATAAAATTGAAATAATTAGTATATATCATCTTTAATTTTTTAGTAATTGATAAAAATTCTTTGCAGTAAATAGTAATTAAAACTTTCATAAAAGGTAATATATTAACACTGAATAACAAAGTATTGAAATACAGGATGCATGTACAGCGAATGCAAGCCATTTGTAGTAAGGTTCATTCAAGTACTGTACTGTACAGTACTAAATGGAATTTAGTACCCATAAATAGAATTTTAAAAAATAGTGACAAATTATTGATTACTACAGGTGCCTGGTGGATCTATTGAAGAATCCTGTGTATTAAAAGGTGTTATGTTAAATAAAGATATTACACATCCAAAAATGAGGAGGTAAGTAATACTATCTTACTGAACCTTATTCATATAAATGAACATGAGTATTACAGTAGAGTCCCAGAAACTCAACTCTCAATAACTTGACATTCTGTAGTTTATTGTGTCGTTCAAAGAAAAGAAAAATACATGTAATTTTATAATAAAAATTTAAGTACAAATAGAAATATTCACTATTGGTATGTAGTTAATATGTAAATGAATTTGCAGATATAATATCCTACATGAAAATTCTATTATTTAGACAAACATCATCACTATACTGTAAAACTCATCATTTTTGATAGCTTGTCACCTCCTCAGTCCACTTTGAGTTTGTGGAACTCTACTGTATTTGAAAAAATGTACGTAGATCGTTGCTAAAATAATCACTTACTTTAATGTTTGTGTTTTTCATTTACTATACAGGATGATTTTGTTTTATTGGGATTGTTTTTAGATTTGTGTTGTTGCAGATAGCAAATTGTTAAATTAACCCAATTCTATTGCCACTGAATCTGACTTAAAGTCAGCAAATTATGCTTTTCTAGCCAATTATATTTCAAACTTGGAGAACTATATTGAATCATTGGTGGTGAATACTCTGATTTGCATGTTATTTTTCTCAGCTAGTATAGGTATAATAAAATTTTATTTTGTATTTACTGAAGCATTATACTAAAATGCTATTCATTATAGTAAAAAACACGAGTAAAATGTTTTTAAACACATTTTAGCATTTTTATATTAACGTAAATGGTTGCATGAAGTGGTGGTCTCATTTTGTGCTTTTCAACTACATAAAGAATTGCAACCACAATACATAGCTATGGTAGAGCATCGATTATTCAAAACAATTCAGGACTGGGATTTTCGGATAACTGATCACTTACAAAAAAATATATTAAACACAAAACTGTACTGTATATATTTTGTATCACACATCTTACAAATACATATCTTACATAAAGTAGTACATTAAAGTAGGCCTACAGTTTAAGTTGGTAGGGAGGGAAAGACTGCTGCCACAGCACTAGCAGAAATTTGAATTTGTTGACTAGAACGCTTTTGGTTAACTGATGTTTCGGTTGATCAGTATTTAGATAGTTGATGCTCTACTGTATTTTCATTAACTAGCAGATTCCCTCCAAATATTTCATGAGCACAACTACAACTGAAAACAAAAAGTTTGTTTTTGTGCTGATTGAGATGCACAGTCAACTGACAAATGTCTTTGTCAGTGTGACTGTTTAAAAATAGCAGGAAATTACAAAATTAAGTTGGAATTTCGTAAATAGAATTGATCCATTATCTTAAATGCATGTGCAATTTTTTTTATTTCTTCATTGAGGTAGAATCTTAATGAAGCCTCTTGTATGTGGCTTACAGAATTGCTTTCATTCTCAAAATTTGATTGATTGATTTCAATAAAACTTTGTCATTTTTCATTAATTGCGATGAGGAATCCAAAAATGTAATAAAAAGTGGGGTTACAGTGACAATAATGTGGATGCTCTCTACCATGGCTGAGCACACTTAATGGAATTTAGAGGACCAGGAAAAAAAAAACAGCTTTGCATGCACCTAATAGGAAATGGACATGAAAAACAAACAAAACAATTGATGTTGATTTTTTTTGTTCTTGGATTGGGGTTACACAAAAAAATCTGCAATTGGTTGTTGATGATTTTAAATGATAAAATGATTGAATAATATTTTCTAATATTGTATTTAGGCTATATATTAATTTTGTTTTAAATCTAAAGCTTTAAAATTTCCTGTAATTTCTGTTGTATGGTGAATATGTTTTTTTCTTTATTGATAGAAATGCAGGATTTAAAAAACTTGCTATTTACTGACCTAGATCATAATAATGAGAATTTGAATGCTGTACAAGCCAGGTTATCCGAAGATATTTGGCAACCCATTGATGGTATTTAGTCAGTCAAAGACTTGGTCCAAGTGCACCATCATATTCGGAAAGTGGGTTGCTCCTAACATGGAGTCAGCTACTCTTAACATAGGGAAACAGATGTCGTTTTGCCTGTTAGCATTTAGCTGGGCATATTGGGAAGGCCTTCACGCTTTGGGAGGCCCTACCAGGAATATAATATCTGTTCCCACCAACCTGCCCAGGAACACTTTGAGGCAGCTAGCAGGGCTTTGGGGGAGTCACATAATTGCAATCCCTCTGGAACAATTCATCCCTTCCCAATAAAGATTTGGTGAAGGACCCTACCTCCTGATTTCAAATTGCACTATATCTGGTCCATCATTAATAGAATTTGGACCTCAGTCGGCAGATGCAACTATCTTCCCAATACATGGAACATGTCCAGAGATGCATGCTATGACTGGTCGAATTCAAACTATTAAACATGTAGTTTAAGACCTCCCTCAGTGTTCCTTTGGTAGAAATTTGATGGACATTCACCAGTGTAATAGTGAAGCTTTGGATTGGATAGAGTGCTTGGATATTAGACTTTAACCTTTTGCTGTTTTTTTCTGTGTTCATTTTTGTTTTGTTTTTGTGCTGTACTTAACTACCATATGCAATATATATATAATAATGAGAGACATGTGTTTCTATCCCTGCATTTTATGAAATGCTTTAGTTCTTATTTATCAGTTAATCCTTATACTTGTATATTAATGTTAATTTGACAGTTTGCATATTTTAGAAATTCAGATTTAAAATAAATACATAGAACAAATTTAAGAAGTGTATAATACTTGAAATTTAACAATTAAAAAATTATCAGCTCTGTTTATATGAAAACCATTGTAAATTACATTGTATTGAAATAAAAAGAAACCATAATTTTATACAAATTATGAATTATTTTTCTCAGGCGTATTGAAAACCCAAGAATTGTGCTTTTAGACTGTCCTTTGGAATATAAAAAAGGTGAAAGTCAAGTAAGTTACAAAGTTTTTCAATTAAATGTTAACTTACTTGTAATAATAGAATATAATGAAAAAATAGATAATTTTCTAGTGAAGTATTAAAAAAATTATGTTAAATTTTTAATTATATGCCTTAAAAATATTAAATATATTATAGTCTAGTTCTGCTGAAATTAATTTAAAACTAGTAAAATTTATTATAGAATTAATTTTTATCTAATATAAATTATGAAAAGAATCTCTAATTTAAACAATTTGTTTTCATAGACAAATATAGAGATAACAAAAGAGGAAGATTTCACCAGAATTTTAGAATTAGAAGAACAATATATTCAGCAGTTATGTAGTGATGTTGTTGCATTGAAACCTGATCTTGTCATCACAGAAAAAGGAATTAGTGGTATGTTGAAAAAGTTGTTTTTCAGTATTTGTAGCATATATTTGAAAAACAGGGTTCAGAAGACTTTTTCTGTCTTTGAAACAATGAAAAATAAATTTTGCACTGTGAACTATTGATGACCTTGTTTCGTTAGAATTTATAAATAGTGATATTTTTTTAAAATTTTAAATATGTGCAATGTTAAGAAGAATTTTCAATGCTAAGAAATTTAAATAATTAACTTGTTCACATTGAACTAGAATTAGCTATTATATATGCTTACATCAGATAAAAACTAAATTGAATTTTTTTTATATAAAATAATCCGTAAAAAATTTAATTAAAATATCATCTATTTAATATTGCTTTTTTTCCTTTAGATTTAGCACAACATTATTTTATTAAAGCAAATATATCTGCTATTCGTCGTGTTAGAAAATCTGATAACAATAGAATTGCTCGGTAAGTAAAAAATTATGTATTTTAGTTCAACAAAAAAGTTACTTAATGGTATTTTTTAATTAATACATGTATATATTTGTTATAGAAAATATGTAACATTTTTGTTAAAATTAATATTTAATCTTTATGGTTTATCTTAATATTTTTGTAATATGATGTTGTTTGTCAAATTATTGTGTATATGTGTAATTTCAATTATCAATGTGAATATACCATTTGTATTTATAATCAATTATATTTATCATCATATCCTTTTTCCATATCTTTGTATTATACAGATGATATATGTATTAGTTTTTACAAGTGATTAGATATGTTAGATTCCTATAAATGCAAAATTACAACATATTAAAGTCAAAAAGTTTTTTTAAATTGTTCATGTTATATTTGAAATATATTGGATTAATTGTGTATATGAAAATTGTAGGATTAACGTTTTAACAAAAACTATATATAAGAAATAAATTTGGATTTTATAATAAATAGCATACAGAATTTTTATTTACAATAAATTCAGTTTCAGAATTTTTTTTAAAGATTTCCTATTTATTAAAAATAGTGCTTGTGGTGCTACAATTGTAAATAGAACTGATGAATTGAAAGAAGATGATGTTGGAACAAATGCAGGACTATTTGAAATTAAGAAGATTGGTGATGAGTAAGTGTTTTCATAAATAATTTTAATAAAACCTTTTAAGGAAAATAAATTACAGAAAATATATTGATATATAGGTATGATTAGATGATAAAAATTTTTTTGCCTTTGATCTGGTATTATGTGAAATGTGATTTTGAAAATAGAATATTTTAAATTTATCCAATAATAGACAAAGATATTACAGTAATGTTTCTAGTTCCATTCTATATCTTTCTGTTACTCTGAGTTGAAGAGGTATTAAAAATAATTAATGAGAAGCAAAAATAATCACTTGATTACAGTTGAATTTGAGTATATTTGATGTAAAAAAGTAACATTCTATATTTCTGATACTCTATTCACTTTGTATGTGATTCTGAAAATGGCCGCAAATGATAGTCAAAAACATTAGAAAGAATTTTAAAAAAAATATGCTGGTCAAGGTTTGTGTAATATTAGTACATGATAACACCAGTTTGGGAAAGTCACACTTTAATTATTCTTTGTGTATACTTACTAAGCATTATGAATTATTTATTTAAAAGAATTTTATTTTATAATTTGCTACTATGTAAATTTATTTTACTTGATTTATTTTGATGATTAAATAATTATATAATAAAAATGTACTTGCTAGTATTTGGTAGAAAAATGAAAAACTTATTACTTTATACTATATTTTGAGCTGAGTACCATTGCATTACAAAATATTTTGTTGTAGAAGTTAAGATAAGGTGTAATGTTTATTTTAAAACATGTTTTTGATTAAAAAGTATAGATATTCCTTGTATAAAACATTAGTTTATATTCTGAAAAAGTGCTGTGTTACGTGAATCTGTGCTATACAAAACAAAGGACTAATGCAAAACATAAGGTTACATTCCAGATGTTTGCAAAAGTATACTATTATTTTTCGTTACTAAGAGATTCTAATTACTAAGAGATACTAAAGTAATCAATAATTAATTAACAGTTGCAATTAAAAGTACTGTATTACACTTTAATATTAATTTTAGTTAAACCAGGGCATTTTCTTTTTACAAACTATTGTTGTCATCTCAGCTTTGTTTTTGTTAATCTTGATCAGAAATATTAGCAACATTTTCATATTTTTTATTTTTATCATAAAAAAGTTTTATGGATGACAAAATAAAAATATGTTATTAATTGAAAATTTGTTCAGTTGAGTACTGAGTGATTTTTTTCCAGAATTTGTTTGAATACTGAGATACCACCATATTTTGTTAGTCATTTTACAAATGATTAGTTACCTATGGTTTAAAAAAAAAGTATAATAACACCTAAAATGTATAAATAAATTTTACTAAATACAAAGATTAATGTATAAAAACAAAACAGTGACGGTCTTAAAATCTGAAAGCAACAGCAATGACACCTGGTTGATAGAACTCATGGACAGCTGCCTGTGGTTTCTCATTATTTGTGAATTTTCAGTTATGCAGCAAATTTTTTTCATTGTCAATTAAAGCATAATTAGACAGAGGGAGGTCTTGGTGGTGCAGTCATGTTGGGGCAAAACTCCTCGCACTACATTCCCTTTTGCTGTTGTTGAATCCTGCATCTAAGTCATGTAAGAGTCTGATAGTACATCTTGCTGTTTGATGGTGATTACTTGTGGAAGCCAGTCCATTAGCAGTGTCCAAAAAGGCAATGATCATCTGTTTATTTGCAGATGAAACAGCACAAAATTTCTTGGGCCTGGGACTTCCCATGCCTAGATGTTTCCATTGCATGGATTGGGATTTTTTTTCTGGTGTATGGTAGTGACACAATGGCTTGTCTCCAGTTATCAGCTTTCAAAAAAATCTGGATCTTCATAGCATTTCCAATAGCTGATGACAGCTTTCCACTCTTCTGTCCTTCTGTGCCTTTATCAAGTACAGTGGAGCCCAGTATGCACACACCTTTTTAATGTTCAAATCATCATGAATGGTGGTCTGCAGGAAAGCCTGCTTGAGGCCTGTCTCGTTCTCCAATTTATTCACAAACCAAGAAAGAAGAGAAATGCGGTCAAATTCAGTTATAATGAGCAAAATGCCATAGCAATTTTAATTTACACCTATTTCCATTTATATTTTCTCACAATTATAACAAGCGTACTTCGTGGATATACTAAACAAATTTTTGGTAGTTATTCAAACATTTAAAAAATTCTTAAATGTTCAAGTAATAAAATATGCTATACCAAATTCTTGGAAGAGATAAAACTGAAAGAATTACTTAGTTTTATGACCTGCATGGATTCTATTTATCACTTAAGTTTCTTTTTTGAAGACTGTCCCTATCTTCAGTGACTAGCTTTTGGCCTTGCATTCAGAATTTACCAAAACAATATTACTAGCTGAAATAGGGCATATTATTAATTAATATCTTTAATTGCAAAAAATAAATTGCTTAGTATTAATAACATTGTAATTTATATACAGTAGAGCGTCGATTATCCGAATCAATTGGGGACTGGAGTTGTTCGGAAGATCGATGTTTCGGATAACTGATTATGTACGAAAAAATATATTAATTTATCCCATCTTGACATTTTTCTCCATAGCGTGTCGCTTCGCGTTGAATTTTCGTCAATGTTAAGCCTAACGAAGACTATTGTATCGTTAAAAATTATTTTTTTATTTTGTACAAACAAAATAAATATATTGAAAAATATAAAAAAAATAAAAAATTATACTTCAGAAGTTAATTTAGTATCAAAAACGTAAAATATTTGAGTAGCC